AAAAGTGTGTCGTGAGGTCTGGGATTTTTTTTTTTTTTTTTTTTTTAAGTTGACAGAGTCTTGCTATTTGCTTCAGGCTGGCCTTGAACTCACTGTGTGGCCCAGATTGGCCTGGAACTCTATGCAGTCCTTCTGCCTCAGCCTCCAGGGTGCTGGGTTTATAGGCATGCGCCTCAGCACCTGGCAGTCCAAGGGTGTTGAGGAAAAGTCAGGTGCCCTGCTGTGGGCTGGAATGGTGAGCCAGTCTTCTTGAATCTTCCAGGAAATTCTCCCCAGGCTGCTTGCCAGTTGGACAGCCTCCATCCCTGTTCCTGAGCTTCAGGTCCTCGGTGCAGAGCCCGAGGCTAGCTGCGAAGGTATGTGGCTCTCACCTCACCCCAGCCCACGTCTAGTGGCCCTTCAGCCGCCCCGGTCCCAGGCGGTTCGTGTCTCCCCATCTCCATCAGACTGCTGCCCCTAAGACTGACAGCTCTGGGCAGGAAGGACACAGCTGCTTCTCAATAAACGTGTTGCAAAAAAGGAACAGATGAGTTGGATGTGTATTTATTTATCTTTGGAGCCCGTGACCTAGAATAGAAGATCCTCCATTCAGCGTCGGGAGAGGGCGCCCACCTAAGAACCTCCCCTGCCCAGCTCGTGGTTGTCTCAGGGTTTCCGCGGGCGGTCACTGCTCCCCTCTGGTGGTCATACGTTGTCTTGCACCTGCTGGAGAAAACAACTTGGCATTTACAAAACTGCCAAGTTGACAGTTTCCTCCACAAAGTGAAATCTGCTTGACTTTTGTTAAGAACTTGAAAATTAGGAGTCTTTGGGGTCCAGAGCAAGAAGATCCTGGGTCCTAACAACCACCACCATGCTGCGGACAGGGTTTTATTAGAAATGAGTTTTACCTACCCAGCCAGAAGGCCGCACTCAGCCCATGTCCTGGTGCCTACCTGCTGCGGATAGGCTCCAGGAGCCCCGCCTCTTCCACCACTGGTCTGGGTAGGGGACAGTCAGCCCGAGGAACCGCAAGGGACAGGACCACGAGTGGGCTCAACCTGGAGTTGTTTGGGGAAGTGGGCCATGGGAGTGCTCCTGGGATTAAAAGTCACATGCCTGGGATTTGGGGATGGGATGGGATTACCAATGCCCCTAGAGTGCTTGCAGGAGACCAGCAGACTTCATCCGATCTCCCTGCCCCTCCCGGCCGATGTCTCGCGGGGTTCACACTCGCATCCCCACTCAAGGATGCCGCTACTCACGTGGTTAGAGGTTTGGGGCCAGGCCTCGATCATCCGGCAGAGGGCGCCACGTCCCACGCTGCGGCCCGGGGAGGCGGGGGAGGGCAGAGAGGCGGAACCCCGTCCCCCAGCGCCGGTCTGTACAGCACGGAGCGAGGGCCCGGCGCGGGCACCACCGCAA